TTTTGTCTGTGTTGCATTATTTAAATGTCCAAACCGTTAACTTGTTTTCTTCTGTTCTGACAAACAAAAAAAGAAAATCAGTTTTAGAACAGTCATCATTGTTTATAACTTCAAACTGACACTGGATTATAGAGGTGATATAAGCATGTAAGAATAATGCATTGTGAATAAAAAAAGAATAAAAAAACTCCATTTTTGAATTAAATCATGAGACTAAAACAAGTTTTGTAATATTTATTTTGATTAGTTACAAAACATAAATAAAATCAACAATTCAATTAGTTATATTTTACAAAGGCTGAATCATCAGTAATATACTTTATGGTATTTTTATTTAGATTTTCATTTTTCCATGAATATTCTTTGATCAGATGTTCTCAGTCATGCAACTTTCAATCAAAAGATTGTTTTTGCATCACTTATTATAATAGACCTAGAGGACAACAGGAGACCTACAGGTGCTGGTCATAAAATTAGAATATCATGAAAAAGTAGATTGATTTCAGTAATTCCATTTAAAAAGGGAAACTTGTATATTATATTCATATATTACATACAAACTCATATATTTCAGATGTTTATTTTGTTTAATTTTGATGATTACAAATGACAACAAATGAAAATCTCAAATTCATCATATCAGAAAATTAGAATATTGTGAAAAGGTTCAAAATTGATGGCCCCTGGTGCCACACTCTAATCAGCTAATTAACTCAAACCACCTGCAAAAGCCTTTAAATGGTCTTTCAGTCTAGTTCTATAGGCTACACAATCATGGGGAAGACTGCTGACTTGACAGTTGTCCAAAAGACGACCATCGACACCTTGCACAAGGAGGGCAAGACACAAAAGGTCATCGCTAAAGAGGCTGGCTGTTCACAGAGCTCAGTGTCCAAGCACATTAATAGAGAGGCGAAGGGAAGGAAAAGATGTGGTCGAAAAAAGTGTACAAGCAAGAGAGATAACCGCACCCTGGAGAGGATTGTGAAACAAAACCCATTCAAAAATGTGGGGGAGATTCACAAAGAGTGGACTGCAGCTGGAGTGAGTGCTTCAAGAACCACCACACACAGACGTATGAAAGACATGGGTTTCTGCTGTCGCATTCCTTGTGTCAAGCCACTCTTGAACCACAGACAGCGTCAGAAGCGTCTTGCCTGGGCTAAAGAGAAACAGGACTGGACTGCTGGTGAGTGGTCCAAAGTCATGTTCTCTGATGAAAGTAAATTTTGCATTTCCTTTGGAAATCAAGGTCCCAGAGTCTGGAGGAAAAGAAGAGAGGCACTTCATCCACGTTGCTTGAAGTCCAGTGTAAAGTTTCCACAGCCAGTGATGGTTTGGGGTGCCATGTCATCTGCTGGTGTTGGTCCATTGTGTTTTCTGAGGTCCAGGGTCAACGCAGCCACATACCAGGAAGTTTTAGAGCACTTCATGCTTCCTGCAGCTGACCAACTTTTTGGAGATGCAGATTTCATTTTCCAACAGGACTTGGCACCTGCACACAGTGCCAAAGCTACCAGTACCTGGTTGAAGGACCATGGTATCCCTGTTCTTAATTGGCCAGCAAACTCTCCTGACCTTAACCCCATAGAAAATCTATGGGGTATTGTGAAGAAGAAGATGCAATACACCAGACCCAACAATTCAGAAGAGCTAAAAGCCACTATTAGAGCAACCTGGGCTATCATAACACCTGAGCAGTGCCACAGACTGATCGACTCCATGCCACGCCGCATTGCTGCAGTAATACAGGCCAAAGGAGGCCCAACTAAATACTGAGTGCTGTACATGCTCATACTTTTCATGTTCATACTTTTCAGTTGGCCAACATTTCTTTAAATCCTTTGTTTTTATTGGTCTTCAGTAATATTCTAATTTTCTGATATGATGAATTTGAGATTTTCATTTGTTGTCATTTGTAATCATCAAAATTAAACAAAATAAACATCTGAAATATATGAGTTTGTATGTAATGTATGAATATAATATAAAAGTTTCCCTTTTTAAATGGAATTACTGAAATCAATCTACTTTTTCATGATATTCTAATTTTATGACCAGCACCTGTAGTGTCAATTTAGTCTTCAAGGCATTATCATCCAGTAGTGAAGTTAACAGTAGGAAAATTGCCAATTTTCTTCAAAAAATATCTGATTATTCCTCCATACATTTGAAAAGGTGCTATGTATTATTATAGGGAGGGCCCATAAAAAGATGAAAACTTAAGGTTTCTCAACTTTTTAGTAACTTTGGGTTTATAATCATAAGCATACAATTTTTTTTACTGTTTGTACATTCCTATTTCAAAATACAAAAATAATCTTCATCTTTTAGATAACAATTTGCTTACACTCAAAAAGACAAAGTAAGCTTCATCATCGTGACCAAAAAATATATCGTTAGACACGTTAGTATCAGACATCACATCACAGTATCTCACCTTCACTAGTAATGCACTACACTTTTGTAGAAATGTAGGAAGTCTTGAAAAACTAAAAATACAAGAAAGCTTTGAATTTATGCTCTAATATATGTAGTTTCTCAATCACACCCTTTAATACATTTGTCCTTTTTCTGACTGACAGTCATCATTTTCATTTCCTTGTGCAATCCAAACTTTAGAATAGCTCAATAACCAATACAACAAATTACATTTTGAGTGCAGTGTGAGCTAATTATATCAACACTCAAGCATTGATGTTCAAACATGCTCATGGATAAATGTAATTAGATCAAGAAAATGTTTGGTAATATACCAGCTGATGATATAACAATCTGCATACCCCTGCTTGTACACTTGAAATGAAACTTGTCTATGGCCCATATTTCCACTTCTGCTTGATTAAAAAAATTAAGACCAGAAACTAAATAATTCACAGCTAAAATAAGGAATGGCAAACAAATACAATGCCTTCAAAAAGTATTCAAACCTCAAGTTTTCTTACATTACAACCACAAACCTTAATAAATAAACATATTTGTTTTGTGACAGACCAACACAAGGTAGTGGGTAACCAAGGTGAATTGGAAAAAAAAAAGTATATTTTTATTAGATTTTCTAAAAATAGTATTTGAGTTAAATAAAAAAAATGCATGCAACACTTTTCAATTTCCTATGTATGTGACCTAACTAGTAGAAAATAATCTACTTGTGTGGAACTCTCCTTGAACCCCAGTCAGCTTTGGCAGATAGTCACTCACACTGAGCCTGGTTCTGCTGGAGGTTATTTCCTGTTAAAGGGAAGTTTTTCCTCTCCCCTTTCACTACAAGCATGCTTTGAGTGAGGGATTGCCTTCAAGTCAATGAGTCGATGCAATCAACTGCTTTTCCTTAGATAGAAAACTTTAAATTAATTTGTCTGAATGATCTGGTTGAATTGTCTCTATAAAGTGCTTTGAGATGAAATGTGTTGTGAATTGGCGCTGTATAAATACCAAGGAACACAGCAGGGTTATGTCATGCAAAATCCCAGTCTCCTATTATACATGGACATCACAAATTTCTTCATGGCGAAGTGGCAAGATTATTCAACTGTTAAAAGTCAAAATCCTCCTGCAGTTTGCCAGAATCCATATAATGGACACAGGAAACATTCCCCCAACCGTATATATAACCAAGCATCTGTGTGGGGCTGAAATAATTAATACTATTATCCATTACTTAAATAATCATCATCTAATTAACTGATTAATTATTAAGTGGGTTAAACCAATTATGGAATATTGCATTTTCCATTTAAAATGAAAAACCTTCATCTGTATATATTTTGCTATTTAATTCTTAATAGATCAATCAAAAATCTTTTTGCCAGATCAATCGTTAGGAGCAGCCCTTCGTCTGTGGCAACACGTAAATTGGTGTCAACAAAAAAGATTTCAATTACATTTGAATGAACTTGAGTATTATTTTTATTTGGGAAGGATAAAAGGCCAAAATTCTACTCTATACATACAAAAAGCTGTACTAAACTTACTCTAAAAAGGGCTGACTCAGGCAGATAACTTTAGATGAATGCCTTACTTTTATATTATTGCAAATAAACCTTTTAATATTTCTTAAACGTTACAAGCATGCACTTCTGTGTGTTGGTCTGACACACAAAATCCTAATAAAATACAGCATGTTTGTGGTTGTCATGTGAAAAAAAAAATACAAATGGTAATAACCCTTTTACAAGGCATTGTAGAACTCAATGCAACTCAGGTTTTCAACCATTTTCAACATCAAAGTAACAACCATTAAGACCTAATGTTTTTCATCATTTCTGTAACTTAAGGAGGCCAGCCTAGAAGACAGGCAGAGTAAACATTACCACACAGTGAATGCGTAGAGTGACATCCTGCTTTCAATGAAAAGAACAATGGATGCAGTTCATCTTGTGAGACACAATTAAGCCTCTCACTGCTTTTCTCAAACATATACAGCCATGCACACAATAATACAATTATTATCAAAGGCAACACTGAAATGCTTAAGTCTGTAGAGTTTCCCCAGTTTTTACTGATTTTGCTTTCCGTTATCTTCCTCTTCAGCATTATCCCAGCAAAGCTTGATATGGAGAGCTCAACTGGTATCAGCTACAACAGGCTCCAAGCTACACTGAGGTCATGAGTGTACTGCAATAGTGGCAGTTTCCACTCAAGCAAAATCTAAAAAAAAAAAGGTGTTTACTGGGCAATATTTTAAAGAATCAATGTATAATATAATTTTGGACTATTAATATCACAAATGACTAAAAGCACATGCTGTAGCAGGCACAACACTACATATTAGACTCCATCATTAGGGGATGAGAGCAGCCACATATGTTGAAAAGCCTAATTGTGTAATTGGCGGTATATTTTTTCTTCACAATGTACTGGGTCGTAAAAAGAATAATATTAAATTTATTGATTTATCTTTAATTACTGTATCTCTGCAAATATTTTTTTATGGTTTTGAGGCAACTTAATCAACAGAATAAACACTGACCAACTTGGATGATGGTAACTAATTGCACTTTTAAATGTGGTAGTTGTTTTATTGTAGGCTGGCTGACTGAGCCAAAAATACTGCAACAATAAAATTTTGTGTCCTTGTTCTCCCAGCTGTGAGAGCTTTCAGGTCCAGCAGTTTGTTTGCAAGTAAAAATAGTTTATTTTCTCTATCCAACTGAGGTCGTTGTGTGATATGTTCTCAAATGTTTAAAAGCGCTGGAGCCATATGTAAACTCATACATAAAAGACAGCGATCAATCATTTGTAACTCCAGCCACTGACTTTTTCATTAATCTGTTATTTTTTTCTTTCACATTTATTTATTTTCTTAGCCACAACCTAGCTGTAAAACATACATTTATTTCACTCACAGGTCCCCCACACACATTGCACTTGATTGTCACTCCAAATGAATCTGATTTATGTTCTGCTTCATTTGTTATTACCATTGATTGGTACTTATTTATCTCTCAATTCTCCTGGTTTTACTTTTTCTTCCAAAGGAACAGAAGAGGAGGGAGCTGTTGGGTGAGTTTTGGCACTGGAAGGCAGGGCAGCAGTTGAGCAAGATGAGGAACAAGTGGAGGAGGGTGAGGAACAGGAGCAAAATGAACCCCCGGTCCCTGTGGTGTCGGTAGTTACGGTGGGTCCGTCGACATGCAGCATAGATGTGGTCGTGGACGCCGTTAATGTGGGGGTTTGGGAAGGCAGCAGCGGTTGGCTTTGAGGTGTTGGTTGGGGCAGCAGGATGGTGGGTTGTGTCTGCGACTGTATGGGGGTTTGCATCGAGGCTGTGGAATTTGTTGGCACAAAGGGGACTGCTGATAGGTCATCTGGTGAATAGGGGGAGGCTGATGGAGGTGTAAACACTGGTGCATCTGTGGTACTTGAGCCAGGTGCGATTGTGAAGGTGTAGGAGCTGGAGAGGGCAGGGTGTTCAGGGTCCCTCCACCTGCGTAAGGAGAGGATGCCTGGGGGTTCAGCTGGGTTCCTGGAAACCAACCTGGTCTAATCACCTGTAACAGTTATAAAATAATAAACACAGAAAAAAGATTTTGTTTGTTTAGGTTACAAAAAAAAAAATCACTATCCATTTCAGCTTCTACAAGTATTTTCACATTGTAACAATAAATTAATTCATTGAGACCTTTAATTACACACCAACAGAAGGTACATAATTTTAAAGTGGTGGAAAATGATAAACTGTTTTAGTTTCCAGTTTTTACAAATCTAGACACACTTTTAACAATGTTTAATTTAATCTCAGTATAAATCCAGCTGAACATCAGTGAACAAACAGTATCATAAAAAATAAGAAAGTTACCAGAAAGGTTAGGGATGAAGTTATGGAGAACTTTCACACTGGATAAGGGTTAATAAACTTTGTCCCACACTTTGAGTGTTTTTTTCAAATCTATAATGAGTCCTGTTTTTACAAGGCTCATAAGAACATAAGCAGATGTGAGAAAAAATTCTGATTAGATGAGACTAAAACACTTTTTTTTGGCAGCATAATGCCATGCAGGCATCCATTAAATGCAGCTGTATTTGGAGCAAAGGGTGGGCCTAAAAAATATTTGCTGTAGGAGCATCACCACATATGACTGTCAAACTTTTCAGGTTTTTTAGTTGCCAAAAATTTTAAAAGTTCAGTTTAGGTAACTGGATGTAAAGTTTTCTAGAATATGTTTCTCCTTTCATCCAAGAGGCTTCTTCTTTTGAAAGCAAAACATCTAGAAAACCTCATATCCAGTTGACTAAATTGAACTTTTCCAGCTTGGCGTGACCTGGATGACTGATAATCTTCACAGATAACTTGCAAAAAAGTTTGTAAAATATCTAAAAAGTTTCTTATCTATGTATGTTTCCTTCCAAATCACAATCACTTGTTGATTCATTACACACAGATAAAATAAATGAAATTACATAATAAAAAAAAAAACGTATTGTTCTAAATGCATTCCATCTATCTTAATACACAAAAAATAGGTATTGGTTTCATATCATGTCTTTAATTGTGTTTAGGCATACCTCTGCAGACTGGCTCCAGCCTCCTTGGACCTGCTGAATCTGCTTGATTTGATTCAGCGAAGGTTTGATCGGAGCAGGACCAAATGTCTCCTTTGTCCAATTGTCAACGAGCTTGTGCAGTTGGTCTGTAAATGTGCTTTTTCTAGATGGGCTGAGATCTGTGGAGAGAGTAAAACAGTTAATGATGCAATTTACTAACATGATTTACCTCTAGGATTTCTTAAATTTTTTTCTTTTAAAAAAACAATGATAAAATACTGCATGGAAAGACAAACGGATGGATGGATGGATGGATGGATGGATGGATGGATGGATGGATGGATACATGAAACAACAAAGCCCTGTTTGAGTTGATGAATGAATCAATGACTGATGGATGAATTGAATGAATGAATTATATTGGATGAATAAATGACAGATATATAAAAGAATAATGAATGGAAGGGTAAAGGAAGAGATGGATGATAGAGTGATGAACACTGATTGATGGATGTACCCTTTGAACATGCAGCAGGTCATTAAAGAAAATATTTGTACTAAGTCCATTCCTTTTTTCTATTCTTAATAAGGCCTGAAAAAAAAAATTTAAATAAACTCTGGAGACTCAGTACTAAAACCTGAATCAACCTTTTCTGTCAGGCAGTTCAGAAAGGTCCCTACCTGGTTCACCACCCAATAAACTAGTTGACTGCTGAACCCCTGGAAGAGACATATAAGCATTAAGAGGCATTGAGAGCAACTATACTTTTTTTAAATACCATGGAAAATGTGGCTCACAGTCGCCTAACCAGAGTGTGGAACTCCATTGTTGTCCATGTGAGAGTGAGGCCTGGCCCGAAGCTTGGCTTTGGCCAGCCTGGGCCTGCGTGGAGAGACAACAGGTGGTGCAGCAGGAAAAGGAGGAGTTCCATAAAGAGAGGCAGGTAAACTCTGTCTTTGGTCTTTGAGAGAACGAAGCTGTCTGTAGAGCTCCTGAAGCTCTCTGTTCTGCTGGGCCTGAAGGGAGACAACCTCTTTGATGTGCCTGCAGAGAGATGTGCAAAATAATGATAAAAAAATCAAATGAATGGAAAGTAAAACAATTAACACATTTCCTTGTTAATGACTTACTTTTCTCTTAGTCTCTGCAGTTCTTTTCTTAACCCTTCATCCCCCAACTCACTTTCATCATCATCATCACTGCTGCCAAGTGGGGAGTGGCTGTGTCCAAAACCACGAGAATGGTGGCTCTTTAATGGGGTCATCTTACCGTCTTCTTTGTCCCATTCCTTTGCCTGGGGTTTTCTCCTGCCTCTTCCCAAATCAGGAGACACTGTTGAGCTGTCAGTCTGTTTGTCTTCTGTTTTCATCACAGAGAAACGCCCCACTTTTCTATGAATGCTACCAGACAACGGATCCTTTGGAGGCGAGGTCTGGGAAACTGGATTAACCTGATAACATAAATTAGTAGATATTTGATGGTCCAGACCAAATAAAGCAGAGTCTAAAATCAGGATGCATGACTCCTACCTGAAATTGTTCTTTAGGTGAACCTAACTGTGTCTCCTTCTTATCAACTTCGAGTGCCTGGCTGGATGAAAGTTCCTCTGATAAGATGACAGGGTGAAAAACAAACAAACAAAAAAGACAAAAAACGCAAAAAGAAATAAATGAAAAATTATGAACAAACCAAATCAATGCAGAAAAAATTAAAGAGACACAAACACACATAAGAAACATAACAAAGTTAGCTACTTGGCAACATTGTTGATTTTCATGTTGTGATATCTGTGTGAGTTATGTATCTTATTAAATAACCCAGGAATATGACATGGTTATGAAGAACATAACTACACTTTTAAAGATGCAAAAAAAAATTAAATAAAAACCTGGTGTAAAATGTTTCTTTCATTCAAAAGAATACGATTAATAAAGCATTTAAATAATGTAATTTCTATATGTTGTTTACCCAATAAACCTTCAGATTCCCAATTGGTCTCTTTTAATAAAGAATGCCAAATTAGACAAATTCAAAACAATATTTGTAAGTTTAAAAGTGCCTTGCAAAAGTATTTTCACATTCTGTCACATTACAACTACTAACTTCAGTATATATAGCCTGCATCCTATGTTTTAAACCAACATACAGTAAATTACTGGACAATTGTGAAACTAAAGAAAAATAACAAAGGCTTTTTAAGAACTTTTTACAGACTAAACAATAAAAACAGTCCCCAGCTTATAGCTGTTAAAGACCAAAAATGTTCTGCCAATTTGTTTACCTCTTAGCATAACCTCTGAGAAGCTTTTTAAAGAAAATCCTTCCCACACCCCAATTCTGCAACCACAATGTTTTATCAGAAGGATTAATAGATTAATGTGATGGCTTAGTTCTCTCTAAAAAAATGTGTTTTAGATTAAAGGCCAGAAGGTATTGGTCTTAACTAAATAGATCTGTGCTTGTGAGGAAACATAAATATAACTTCATATAACCCTTTTTCTCAGCAATGGCCTTCTTTTTCTTCTTGTGTTGGTCTGTCAGACTAAATCTAAATAAAATACACAGAAGATGGTTGTTGTAACATGACTAAATGTAAAAAAAACAAAAACAACAACCCCCCCCCCCCCCCCAAATAAATAAATAAATAAAAAAAAAAATAAATAACTGGTACCAATATTTCTTGCAGGCACTGTGTAGTGAATGTACTTCGTACTTGGGATTAGCATTACAGCAAAAAGTAGACATGGGTTTTTACATTTCAGAAAAATTTTAAATTTGTTACAAAAACATATTACAATAATTATGTAAGGAGATAAAACGGAATGTTGATGTTTGTTACAGGTTTTACTTACAGATAACGATCCATTATTAGTCACTGGTGTGGAACATAACAAAGGTGCTCATGCATGTGCTCTTGTAGCTGAGGTCCTACAGTAAGCTACTACTATACAGGCCACACATATAAACACAGAAACATGCAAGATGGATGGAGTATGTTAACAACAAAGTGCAGTGTACATACACAAAAGGCTTTTGAGCATAACCCTAGATATAAATGTCAGGTCCCAGATAAAGTACTCAATCTATAACCCTGTTTCTAAATATATATATATATATGTAAAAGGTAAATAAAAGGTTCAAAACTGAGAAAAGCAATAAAAACCGTGAAAGCAGCCTTTGGTCACTTAATGGAAATTATTCATAAGATGTTTAACTAGATGTTTTCTTTTTACTTTTTGTTTCTTTCTTTTTCTGCTTGTAAATATCAGCCTCTGGTTAAAGTCCTTTAAAAATAATTTTTTCTTCAAATCTCTGAATTCTGTTTAAATTACATTTGACATCCAAACTGTCTTTGGATATGGGGTTGCTCTGTAAATTAAACATTTTCTCTAAAAATAAAATTCTATTTATGTCATAGTATTACCACAAAAATATATTGCAAGACATTTATATCTAAAAACTTGAGTCTTAATTTTCAATGCTGCAGGCACATAAAGTGCACATGTATTTTAAATAAAATTTTATCACATATGAAGTGACTTGCAAATGTACTCAAACTTTTAATTACAGAAACTAATGTAAATTGTTTTTTTTATAGACTTTGGGACATTCTAACATATTGTTCTGGCACTATGCTGTGTTTCCCTGTTTGTAAGCAAACAGACTCCAGTCCTCTTTCTTCTGCAGTCTATGACTTTTTTTTTCTGTAAGGACTGCCCTGTACTTAGCTCCACTCACCTTCACATTTAACTTGGCTTTGCTACCTATTCCCACAGCATGACTCTCTCTCAGGATCTGTAAATTCCTGAGATCCATAGTGATCTCAGGATCACTATGAGAATAGTGTATTTAGTTATTTTTTCCAACCCTGCGAATGCATGCAAACTTTTTTTTTAGTTATTATTAAGATATCTTGAAAACTCTGTATATCCTATTTCTCTTTAGAAAGTTTCATCTTTGCATTGGTCTTTCACATCAAACCCCAATGAAATACATGAAAGCTTGTTGTTGTATCGAGACCAAATGTGAAGAGGTATGACTCATTTTCAAGAAACTGCTTAGCTGCTTAGCATCTCATTCTTATAATTATGTGATGCACTGGCTACACTGAGTCAGAAGGTGAGGTGGAAGCTGCCAGCGGAGCCTGGAGGCGTGGGGCAATGAAGCAGGATGTCATGAGAAACAACAGGCCTTGGGTGAAAGTCACAGCTGGGCTTTTCTCCAGACTTCATCTGCACTTGGAAAGCATCAGGTTTTTAATGCCTACCTGATCCAAAAAAAAAATCATTCACCCTTTCCTGCAATCCACTGTTCTGCCCTCCGAGTGCCCCATGCAAAACAAAATAAAGTATAGCAAAAATAATTTGAACATAAAAGGAAAAACAATAATGTATGCAGTGATGTAAAAACTGATGTTACATGGGAACTTTAAGCATAAAGGAGAAAGACAAATTGATCTTGAGATATTACATTTTCACTATTTCTTATTCGTTAAGAGTTATTTTTGCTGTTGATATTAGTAATAGATGTTAGCTCTAGGTTCATGCCCCAACACCCATTCTCTCTTTCTCGTGCTCTCTCGTTCCTTAAAAGGACGCTACCTTGTGGGACTCTGGGCTTCTTGAACAAGCTGGCGGAGTGGCGCAGTTTGCATGCCCAGTTTTTGAACTTTCGAGTCCAGGATTTCTTGCTAACCGGATTTCTGATACTAGGACATGTCAGGTTTAGGCCAAAATATCCACCTCCTGCATTGTGCTGCTGCTGTCCATGCTCGAGGGAGATCGCTTGCTGATTTAAAGGCCATGATGCATCTCCGACGGCACTGGTGTCGGAGTGTGGGTGTACAGCCTAAAACAGTTAGGACAATTAAGACTGGCAGTATGAATGGGAGACATAAAAAAAATGGAGCTACTTTAACATTTAAATATTACAAGTGATCACAAACACTTAAAGATGAATCACATTTACACAATAGATTATGAACGACTAATTCTAGTATTGCTTTTAGTGTTTACTTACAGGTACGGATGGTTCTCCTCTTACAAATGAGTCCTGGGATCCAGTAGCAAGACTGGGAGAGGTGGGCTTGGTGGATGAGGCAGAACCAGAGGGGAGAGAGGGGCCAGGTTGTACCTCTACTGGGCCTGACAGAACAACGTCGCCCACTTCTGAAGAAGCTTCATGTTCCTCTTCCCCTCTTTCTGGGTCAGGGGAGGTAGAAGAGGAGCGGGGAGTGGTAGAAGAGCTGGTCGAGGAGGTGGTTTGTCGGGAGGTGTCTGTGGAAGTGGCAGGTGGGTAAAAAGGCATAGAGGCAGCTGATGTTGGAACAGAGGCAGCCCCAGCTACCATTGCTCCGCTGTTGCACTCCTGATAAAGCAGGTTTCTCAGCTTTTCATCCAAAGTCTTAATACGGTTATCGCCAAATTCAATTTTCGGGGGACCTTCGCTGTCTGACTCAGCCACAGAAGATGGTTGACCTGGGGATGGTGTCATTGTGAAGGAGAGGCTGGGTAGGTGGGCTTCAGTGGAGGCAAGATGGAGAGGGGGCAGAGAGGGGTCAGATGAAGGGTGAAAAGGGGCAGAAAAGTGGCCTGTTTCATCTGTGACACTCGTCTCTCCTGCAGACACCTCAGACTCTGATATATGCGAAGAGGCCTGCTTCTGACTTGCACACAGCAATTCCTCTGTGGTTTTAGCTCTCTCGTATTGCAGCTCAGAGTGTAGAAGCACCGTTTGTGGCTGCACCGGCTCAGCAGGCACTAGGCTTGGTTGTGGAATCTGATGTTGTGGTACAGCTGTAACATTTAGCTGTGCCTGCTGTTGGAGAAACTGTTGACTTATGGAAGTGGGAAACATTTGGCCTTGAGCTGCAACACCCACAAACAGCTGATGCTGTTGTTGCTGCAGGTGAAGTTGCATAATTTGCTGCTGCTGTATCATCTGTTGCAAGGTCCCCTGTTGATGCTGTGGCTCTTGCTGCTGGGGAACTATAAGAGCCTGAGGGGCAGAAACTGTCTGTGTAGGCTGCTGAAACAGAGGCTCCTGAGGTAACTGAGGGGCGTATTGTAAAGGCTGCTGTTGAGGTGGCAGGGATTGGGGCATTGGTTGCAGAATCTGAAGTGTAGATGCTTGCAGCACCTCTCTTTGGCCCGACTGAAGAAACACAGGATCTTCAGGAAGGTGTAATTGCACTTGTGCTTCCTGTTGCAGTGGTTGTTCTTGCAGCAGCAAAGTTTGATCTTGGTTGCCCTGGTACTGGGAAATGTGTTGTTTTGGTGTTAACTGCTGTATCTGTTGTTCAAATGGACTTGCTAAGTGCTGCGGCTGTGCTGTTGCTTGCAGCTGTGATTGTTGTGGGACTAGACAGGTCATTTGTGTAAACACCTGCTGCTCTTCAATGGGAAGTTGAGTTACAAGAGCCAGAGGAGTGGAGTGAATAGAGGTTGATGACGTTTCAGCTGCTGAGGGCCTTGATGCATTGCCCATTGTACCTTCTATATTCTGAGGTACAGTGGAGAAAACATTGGTGACTGCAGGGGTTTGGTTACTAGAAACTATGGTGGTGGCTGTAGGAGACACAACAGCAGGAGCATCTGACAATTTTGGGATGCTAGCAGCAGTTGTTGTTGCTGTAGTTGGAAGACAACTGGTAATGTGGTCATCTAAAGCAGCAATGGTTTCATAGGATGTGGTCTTAGCTATAGTGGCTGAAGGGGCAGAGAGAGATAAGGCTGAAGATGAGGCAGATGAAAAGGAGTTGTGAGGGGAAGACACCTTTTCAGTGACTGGCTCAAGAGTCTGAGATGAATATGTTTCTAAAGCCAAAAGAAAACACACATTTAGTTTTTGTTACTTTCTCTGTCAGTTCAATAAGCCGCATCATTACCACAGACTGATTTTGTCTCACCTTCATCTTTTTGAGGAGACTGGGGAATTTTTGCCTCAGCAGTGGGCGGAGGTGTGACTGCACCCTGGCCAGACAGGGAGTCTCTGTGACGAATGGTCTGGTTGATAAAGAACCGCCAGCGACCCACTGGGGACGACTGGGGGACTGACTCCATGACTAAACCATAAAAGCAGCTCATTAGTTTTGAGAACAGATTTTTTTTTTTTACAATCGTTCTCTAAAAGAGGAAATCGCTCTCTCTTTATATATATATATATATATATATATATATATATGTGTATATATATATATATGTGTATATATATATATATGTGTATATATATATATATGTGTATATATATATATATATATATATATATATATATATATATATATATATATATATATATATATATATATATATGTGTGTATATATATATATGTGTGTATATATATATATATATATATATATATGTATATATATATATATGTATATATATATATATATATATATATAAATAAATAAATTAATGACAATCAACAAGCTTACCAGAGCTAGTGCTCACTTGTAACTGGTTAGTTGATCCAGTCTAAAAGAGGAAAAAAGTTAATTATAGATGCTGGTAAAGATTCTCATTCATCCAGGTAATAGTCATTCCAAAAAACTTAAAAGAAGACAATCCACTTGGCTTTGTTTCCAAGTTTGAAGATGTTTCACTTCCAATCCAGGAAGCTTTTTCAATTGAAATAGTCAGGAATAGCTTTGAGTTTGAGGCTTCATAAAGTGGACTAAAAACAAAGCCTTGCTTTGGCTTAGAAGACATGCAAATTGAACTGGACGAACGGGTCCGCCCCTTTGAAATTTGGGTAATTTGGGTTCTTTGTTAGCCTGCAATACCTGATACCTGTGCATGTGTCTGAAAGGGGGTCGCTAGAGGGAATTGTAGGCCTGGCTGAGCAGGCGAGGTTTTCTGTTCCCCTGTAAGGGGGTGGGGGTTACAATTCATTGCGTTACTTATGGGGGTACACAGCAGTGAAAAAGATGGTGACTAAAACATTAACATACCTGTGTTTGGGACTGAAGAATTTCCTGGGCTTTTTTCACAATCAATACCAGTTCCTCCACAAATTTTTCTTTCTCTATATCTAGGACAAAATCCTCCTCTACCTAAAAGGGAAAACCACACAGCAGTTACAAAAAATAAGGTTTATTAATATGAGTATTGACATCACCAAAACACTGCAAGTTTTACCATGTAATCTGCAATGTCTTCAGGTGCATCTCCTTCAATATCAAATTTAAATGTCACCATCTTGTTGCTATGTGTCTCTAGCTGGCATTCTACCAGATTGTCTCCCTTCCTAGACACCTGTGAATGTTAAAATAGACAAAAACATCATACAGTGCTAGGAAGAAGTACAGGCTGCAAAGTAGTTTTAAAACATGATTTCTGGCCTTCTCACTTGGAGCATGCTGAGTTGAAACTGATGCAAACTTTTCTCAAGCTTCTGAGAGGAATTTTTTTTCTGAGACTTCGACTTCTCAGTCTTTCCATTTGCCAGATTATGTAGAGTGTCTTCTCCATTTGCTGAAACAGACCTGAGGAGAGTAATGAACATGGATATCAAATACATTTTGGAATAATTTAACAACATTTTTAGATGGAAAATAAAATTAAGAACTCAAAAAGACAAGACAAGTGAAAGCCAAAGTTGTTCACACAATAGAAAATAAACGTTTTGTAAGAAAACCTACCCTGTTGAAGAATGACATTCTGCACTTGCAAGGGATAGACCATCCTGCAGAGTATTCATAGACAAAACATGGATATAAGGAAAACACATATGCACACACAAAAAGATCAATTGCCATAATGGTAAACATTCACATATTATTATTATCATTACTGGTAATATGTTATAAAGTTCAACCCTGCCAAAAATGGTGGAACCATCAGAAGTACATTAGCACAGAATTCTGAACATACAAGAAAGCGGTGGAGGTAAACCAGTTTCTTGTATGTGTATGTGTATTTCATATATCATAATAGGGTGACCATATTTTCATTTAGGAAAACCAGGACACCTTGCGGGGGGGGGGGGGGGGGTGAGAGGAAATGTTACTTGTTACTAGGTTTTTATCTGTTACTGTGTAAATGACTTTGGCTGTAACTTAAGGACAGGTTCTAATCAATCTGCAGAGTGGGAACTATAAATCTGATAGGAGTTTCATTTTTTTATTGTTGTTTTGCACAATATGCTTAACTAAGTATTTTTTGCTGTTGAATATTAGAGATTTTGCAGATACATTTTGTAGATACATTGTTTAGATTTACTTATATCTTTCTACCCCTTTTATAGAATAAAATAGAAAATCCCTTTATTGTCCCACAATGGGCAAATTTACAGCAGCAGAAAGATTATTGAAAATGGTCACACAAATGAGGACCTTAGAAAAATGTCTAAGAATAACATAATAGGGAAGAGTTAAAATATAAAAAATAAAATTCTGTAAAGTGTTTTAACAATATAAAACTGGATAATAAATAACCAATATGCAGCTATGGACATTTTTACAGTATTGGATATTTGAAAATAGCAGCAACATCAGAGATGTGCAGAATGACAGCAGCAGGTTATTTAACTGACTAAGGTTTCTATCATTACATTTGATTTTATTTGTTCCTGCTCCCGCTGGTTGGAACCTTTATTCCACTCTGGATTCTTGTGAGTGTAGTCTTTGTTCACTTTAACTTTTTTTAAAATAAATAAATAAACAAACAGTTTTGAAAACCTCGGTTTTCATTCTTTTCCTGCTTTGTGTGTCAACTTTCACGGTTGCTAAGCAACAGAGCATACGGCGGTAAAACCCGCTGAAGGGAGGACCTGTTCGAATTTACAGCCAAAACTCTTCCGGCCTCCTTATTTTCAAGAACTTCGAAGGATCCAGTCTAGGTAGACCGTGTCCTTGGAGGATGCGTCCTAGGTTTTCGAATAGAGCCTCTGATTAAGAGCAGGGCTGCCCGCACTGACGCGGCTCAGGGATTACGTCACACGGAGCGTTGTGCGCAGTGAAATCAGGACATTTCCTCACTTTCTAAAAAAAACCCGGGACGCCCCGGACAGGACGTGAAGTACGGATATGTCCCGGGAAATACGGACGTTTGGTCACCCTATATCATAATATATCCTTACACTTGTTTTGGTGTTTATTCAATAAATAAAGAACAAATGAGCATTCACCAAATATTTCTGGAACAAAACTGTTGGGATACTTGAGTGGGAACTTAATTAGCTCCCATCAATAAAATACTGATTTAAATGGATGAAAAAGCGTCTCAGTACATAGCAGATTGATAAACTTGAACTAAAGGGACAAGGGGAGCTGTGTTCCACTACTAACTTCAACCAACTTTAAACAACACAAAGTCCCATTCTGAACTGAAAAGACAGAAATTACATAACTAATTGCAAGAAAATCACACTAGCCCTGTACTAATAGTAAAAACATTCCCAAACAACTACATTTTTCCTATAGGTAATAAAACATTTAAAGAACAGAGCCCCAAAAAATGTTTTTTGATGACAAAACGAAAGTTTGTTAGTGTAAGAAAATTCACCATAAACAATGATCTTGGGCTGACTGCTTACTATAGAGGAAATTATTATTTTGTTTATAAACTCACTGTGGAAAACTTTAAAGGGTTAAGCAATTAACTATTTCCTAAATCCAGGTAAGAAGATTTAAAAACATAATTGGGCAGAACTAAATTCTCCATAAAGGTGCCAAACTAAATAAAATATCTTGAAAAACAGCTTTTACTAAAAACCCTGCGCAAATAATATCAAGGGTGGATTTTATATCAAGCATCCTGCAACTAAATATGGATAGGGCATCTCCACAATAGTGATTAGTATAAAAGTAGCTTAAACCTATTTCAGGTAGTATAATCAATAAAAATATAAGTATAAGCAATAAGAATATAATCTGATCAACGTATTTTGTATATGTTTATTAAGTTTTCCGACATTTAGTTCTTACAGTTCAAGGAGGCTAAAAATAAATTTGACCCACACTGTAAACTGATTTAGGAATTTTTGCTTCAGGAATGAGAATGTCAGTATGTATCAAAGATGTAAAGTTACTTTTAAACACAAAATTCAGTAGGAGGCAATCTTAACCATTAGATAAATCTAGTTTTGTATTTCATGTACCTGAGCGATGGCCGGCAGGGAAATATCACAATCTTGCAGCGAGGCTTGGGGTAGTTTAGGAGCATTAGAGTCAAGCGATTGTATAGCAGAGACAGGTTGAGGAGAGGTGGGAACAAAGGATGGCTGGCCAGGTAAAGATACCTGAGCTACTGTTGAAGATGTGGGAAGCTCTGCAGCTGGGACGGGTTGTTGGGATGGTACAGAGGGTAGTGTGGTGGAGAGGCACGAGGGGCTGAGGGGAAGTTGTTGTGGAGGACACATAGCATGACACAAAAAAGATTCTTCAGACATAGGTTTCTGGTGGTCTGGCTGAGTGTGAGAATGACTTTGTGTTTGAACCTGTGTCTGTGTTTGATAGTATGTCTGGGGCTCAATGCAGGTTTGTGTATAAGTGTGAGCTGGCAGCAGATGTTTGGCATGGTGCTGTTGAGATGGAGGAGCCTCTGCCTCTAAGTGGCTATAAAGTGGGAGGGATGCGTTGGGTGACTGAAGCAAAGAAACATTACTGGAACCTGACTGTGCAGGAATCTGTATAGTCTGATGTGAAGTAGGGGGATACTGAGGAGGAAACTGACTTTTGTCAAGTGTTGTCAAATGTTGCTCTAGAGGAGATGGTTGCTGGGTTGCAGTTTGGATTAGCTGTGCAGTTAACTGAAGCTGTGTTGTAGAATTTCCTTGGGGTTCAGGAACTTGAGGATGATTTTGTAACTGCTCAACAGACTGAGGCATTAATGACTGAATGATGAAAGAGTCCACAGAGCTTCCGAGGAACTTCTGCTGGGCTGCAGGAACTGGATATAGTGCTGTTTGTCCTGGAACTACCCCTTGTCCAGTTTGCACTGGAAGATGAGAAACAGGGTGGCTAGCAGGGTCAACCGATGGAGCAAGACTCTCAGTAGTTGTCACAGCAATCTCAGTTGAGCCTGGAGACAGAATCATCTGCTGATACTGCACTAGTGGTTGCTGAAGCACCTGATGTTGTGAAATATGGGTCATATTGTGCTGCAAAGATGGCATGGCTTGGGGGAGAGGTTGTGAGGCGTGCTGTGGACTCATAAATCCAGGGTTGGGATGCCCCTGACAAAGCAGTTGGCCTTTTGTTTCTTGTTGGACAGGGGTCTGTCTGAAACCTTGCTGTGAAGTACTTTGCTGAGCATAAGTTTCTTGTTGTTTTGGACTTGGGAGAGAGGCAATTGCATTAGAATGTTGATTAGTGGCTTGGTTTTGTTGGCCCATCATCTGAATATTGATGTTTGGGACTTGACCATGTGCAACCTGGGGCTGTACAATAGTTGTGTGTTGAGGCTGATTCTGGATTAATGACTGAGCAGCTACCTCAGCCTGTGTGGGAGTTACAGGTCCAGGATAACTAGCCTGTAATGGAATTTGCTGGGTCTGCAATTGCGTTTGTCCCTGGATCATGGCTGTTGGGGTAGATACACTGACTGCAGTTGTAGCTGGTGGGGCTTGGGGCAAAGACGGGACTAAAAACTGGGTTGGAATTTGGTTCTGATTCGGGGTGTGAAAGGAACTTTGTCCTTGCTGACCCAAGAACACTGAAGCTGTCGGGAGAGGAATAGGTTTAGTCTGGATGGTCACTGGGACTTGAATTTGTGGTTGGAGTCCCTCGATGCTCACAGGAACACCCACTAAAAGTTGAGATTTGATAGAGGTGTGTTGTTGTGGCTCAGCACCAACAGCTTGCTGCTGTTGTTGGATAAGTTGTACCTCCTGCTGCTTCTCCATAGTTTCATGTCTGGCTGACTGTTGTGCAGCCTGAAGAGTTATAAGTTGTGGAGTAGACACCTCCTGCACATTAGCAGGTTGTGTCTCCATTTGCGAGGTGTTGCTACTTTGAGGTATAGGCACAGATTCTTGTTTTTCAGCTTGCTGTAGATGCTGAGTGGTGGGAGCTTGCTGTTCTTGATGTTTCATTTGGGCCTGTTGCTGAAGGACTGCATTTTGTCTGTCTAAGGCAACTTGCTGAAGATGATTTTCAAGCTTCTTCTGCAACAGAGCTTGCTGCAGATACTCTAAGCTTTGTTCAAGTTGTACTTGTTTTAATTCTTGCTGCTGCAGCTGAGCTGCCTGTTGCAGCTGGGACTGCTTTAAGATGATCTGCTTTTGCAAATGCTGTTGCATGAATGCTTGTTGTTGTTCCATGTGCTTGAATATGCTTTGCTGTTGCGTCTGCTGAGATTGTTGCTGCAGTATAGTGTTTTGTTGCTGTTGTCCAGTTCGTTCTTGTGCCTCTAGTCCTGTTTGCAATATTCCTTCCTGCTGTTGTCCTGTTTGCTGATATAACTGATGTTTCTGCTGTTGCTGTGAGGGAATCTGTGGCTGTTGTTGCATTTGTGTCTGTGTAGGTTGTCCTTGATGGAGATAACCTTGATTTTGCTGTTCAAATGTTGAAAACCCAGGAGCAAGATGCTGATCCAACAATTGCTTGTGTTGTATTGCTGTCTGCTGTTGGAGTTGTGTCTGGTGCTCCTGTTGCTGAATCAGAGCTATTTGTTGCTGCTGATCAACCTTATGCGCATATATTGGGTGTCTTTCAAGGAGTAGCAGGTGTTGATGCTGAAGTAACTGCTGTTGCTGTTGTAATAGTGTTTGCTGTTGCTGAAGCTGTTGCTGTAGTTGTTGTGATTTTCTGAAAGTTTGCTCGCAAGTTTCTCCTGTCGGTTGCAGTTCATAGGCCTGAGCTTGCTCCCCTGGCAGTGGCAATAACAAAGCTTGCGTCTCCACATTTGTTTGTGTGATCATCACTTGCTGTTGAGAAGTTGACTGGAGTGGGGGATTTAGAGTAATCTGCTGCTCAGACTGGACTGTTGCAGCTGTAAGGCTATGATGATGCTTTTCTGGCAACAGCTGAGTTGCAATAGTCTGTTGCTGTTCAGCCAGTGCGAGCTGATGTGGTTGCTGCTGATGAGTAGCAGTCTGGTGGACCATGTCTGCTTGTTGTGGAGTAATGGACTGGTGTGGACTAACAACATGCTGTGTTTGCTGAGGAGCAGAGTGGGGAGTAATGTCACTCTGCTGCATGAGAGCAACAGGTAGCTGAGTTGGCAGAGTGTGGGGCACAATGGTCCCTGCAAGTCCAGTAGGGTCGCTAACTGACATGGATGAAGGAAAAACATTAATGGGAGCTTGTGGAGAAACTGCATGTATGTTTGACTGTGAGGGAGCCATGGACACAGGAGCAGTGACCGTTTGGAATGCATCTGATGGAAATGTTTGTGACTGCTAAGTGACAATGAAGTAAGAAGGATTTGAGTAGAATATAAGAAAGGGAGGGGAGAGAAAGCGGTACAGAAATTGGGTTAGGAATTAGCCATGACAGGGAAAATAAACAGACATTTAACTTTAAAGAACAGTGTTTCCCACAGCATTTTATACAAGATAAGGAGTTTAGATCATACACTACAATTACGCTTCAGAAAACCAAAGCATGAATTTTAAGGACCCATTTTTACATTACAAACCTGTAAGTGTCTTAACCTTCTTGCATTTTAGTATCTTTACTTAATAACATCCTGTGGGAAGCTCTGTTTATTGCTACAAGGAATGCCAATCTCAGTTATGAGCCCACTGGGTTTGTTATTTAATAATTAATCAAGGAAATAGTCCATCTGAACAGAGTTATATAAAAATTTCTTTACTTAAATTAGCAATAGAATTTAAGGCTTTGTCCCTTTGTAAAAGTTGTTTATATTTGTAAAAGATGTAAACTTTTTTCACCTGAAAGTGTTGTTGCGCTACACTCTGAGATATCTGTGGAACAACGGCAGTAGGTTGAAGAAACACCTGGCCAACAGGTCCCCCTTCGATATTGGGGATGCAAACATTGGACAAACTAACACTCTGAGATACCGGCAGATTTGGAACACCTCCAGTCTCGCCAGGGCCCAGTTTGGGAGTTTCAGTGAATGCGCCAGAGTTCTGTACCACAAGAAGATGTGTAAGCACCAATTCTTCACTTCACAATCAATATACAGATTTTATATGAAACAGATGTCTATCATGAATAGGCTTAAGCATAAACCTACAGATATCAAAGGTTGAGGAGTTATCTGAGAGTGGGAGTAGGGTTCCCCTTGTAGAGAGAGTGCCTGGCTCTGTCCACTTGCATAGGATTCACAGCTGGCAGACCCAACACTTCCAGTTTCTAAAATAAATAAAAAAGCAATAAAAAACTTGGTGAAAAATGCTTTATCTAGTCTTAAAACACATTTTAAAATATATATTTTTAGCCAATACAGCTCCTTCTTTCAATTATCCTGAATTGTTTACATTTTGTCAAGCTATTCAGTTCCCCTTCAACACAATACAAGAGCATAAATGCTTTAGCAATGTAGTGCAGGAAGCAAGTTTTTGATTAGCTCTACCTGGCAAGCTAAGGGTTGTCACACCAAGCATATGTTGCTGTCTGACATGCTGATCAACTTCAGGGAGCTCCTCTGACTCCTGAACCACTCCTCCAGCTCCACTTTCTGCACCTCCTGTTTGTCCAGCTGTTCCAACCATTAGTGACGAAGGGCATGAAGGAAAAGAGAAGACATAAGAGGAGATGGTAGAATCTCTCCTGTCATCAAAGCCTTGATGAAAAAGCTGCTGCTGCCGACGCTCTCTTGACTTTTTGATTAGATTCACTCGGTCTCGGATGGATTTTCCCACTACTTTTGCATCACTCTCATGGAAGAAGCCTGACTTCACCTGTGAAAAGTAAAATGGGAAGACAAAAAGACATAACTACTTAGGGTGGTTCTAGCCTTCCGGAAAGTAGTTTATTAGTTTTGAAAGTCTGGTTTCCTTTATGACAATTACACGAATTTTGCAAAATCAGGTTTTGGTTGAATTTATTTAACCCACTGGTCATTGCTTTTAGTATGTTCATATGTCTTACCATTTCTAAAGCAACTTCCTCAGCGCTGTCATTCTCCAGGTCATAGGTGAACTCAATGGCTTCATTGTCCTTGTGTTTCCCCTTCAGCTTTTTGGGGTCTTCAACCCAAATCCGGAGAGCCAGGCAGTCCTGTGTGCCTGTGTCTTCTTCTGCCAGTTCCACTCTGACTCCTGTATCTTCTGCAAAGAATGCATGATTCAGGAGGTCTCTGATTGAGAGTCTGTAAGGGCGAAACGAAAACAAGACTGTGACAAATACATTTCCATGATGGATTAAAGACATAAAACAAAAATTGTTTTACCTCTGGCATTTGTTCTGACGAATGCAGCCCTCAATAATCTCCTTGATTTCTGGGTCATTTACTTTATCAAAGCTGGCTGGTTTAATACCCTGCATAAAAATGGCAAATAAATAAAATATTTTAAACAAGGTGTTTTAAGACGTTCTTTGTGCTCCAATATCTTGGCTATATTAACAGGTTATAACATAGAAATATTTCTTTGTTATTAGGAGTGATCAGGTGTATTTCCTTTACAGACACTTACACTTGTGACTTTGCGATAGATCTGAGCAGCATTTTGGCATTCCGAGTAGGGATATTCGGAAGTAGCCATCTCTAGCATACACATCCCAAAGGCATAAACATCGACAGATTCATCATAGTGCTCCTCATACATCTCTGGGGCCATGAACTCTGGGGTTCCTGGCAAAGCAAGAAAGCAGCTTTAAATGTAAAATTGGCTACAAAGAAAAACAGGAAGTGCAATCAATCATTGGTCTCCAGTCGTGGTCGTCCAGAGGAACTGTTATAAAAAGTTGATATGTTTGGAATACAATAGCCAACGAAGATTGCCATCAAACTAGTTATTACTAAAATTAACATTGTGCAAACTTTTAATGTCATTCTATTTTTGAGATTTTGCCCGGATATATACCACCTTCCCTGCTAACTGGGATCTTTAAATTGTTAAAGTTGTTTAAGTGCTGGAACGAGAAGTAATCTTTCCCGTTCATTCTCTAATCAGTGCTTCTCAACCTTTTTTGAGTTGCTTACCCCCTTAGCCATTTTTTGATACCATGAACACACCTGGGGTAAAATGTGTTGATTATTCTCCAAAAATAATTTAATTTCCTTAACTTGCACAGTTAATGCTCAGACATGTCATTCTTTTCAATTAGAATAAAAAATAACATAAATATGTTACGTGGAAAGTTTATAAGTACTGAAACAAATACAAAATCAAATAAAGTTACAAATCTACAAATTTGAGCTCTTCTGAATAAGCCCCTATTAATGCATCTAAACTTGGCAAATCAGGAACAAAACAAAATATTATTTAGATTCACTATGTCGTTTTTGCTTTGTTATCATCATTCACTGTGTTAATGAAACACCGACCTTTTCCTAAATCCCCAGCAAGGGGATGTTTTATCCATATATCATTGAATGCAGCTGCTTTGGGTTTGTTCCTCTTTTGTGACCTTTGTCTTTGACCCTGTCTTCCCGCTCTCACTCGCAAAGAAGTAGTGCAGGTGCACAGCACAGATACTCACACTATTCATTCATGTAAATGTTGATTATGAGATTTTCTTTTTATCTTTTTGGTTGATAAAATCTTGGTTTATTTTGCATGTGGGTCCTTACAGAGCTAGACCAACCGCAGCCCTATCTTTTTAAGAAAAATAATGAATGTTTTCAAATATTCCCTGCCAAGGACGTAATTTTGTTCGGTCCCCTGCAGTTGTTACTGTCCAAAAACAGTATTACGCTACAGTACACAGACATTCGTTGAGCACTAGGACCAAGCGGAAAACCGCAGATCAAACTGAAGCCTTCTTCCCTAACTTTAGACCATCCACAAGCTACAGATTGGCCCGCTGTCTTTTCTTGTGCCATTGGCTGTCACCACTTTCACTCCTAAGAAGCTCACTTTATAAACATCTGATATGCCACTAACTCGGGTCTGTTAATAGATGGACAAACACGCTGATGTTATTTTTCCTTATAACTTTTAAAAGATACTGATAACTGCATAATGAAAAAAACAGCACAATTATTCACTCTGACCCAATTATCCACCATCACATAAGGTTCTTTTTAAATACATCTAAATCCAAATCTTTGCCTTTTTCCTTTTTTAACGCATTGACTTTGAGGACACAGTATTCACTGAATCCCCTAATGTGTTCCAGCTACAACCACGTGCCAAGATGAAAAGATAATTACCGTCAGTAGTCATGTTTCCGATCAGTGTGTACATCTTACCTATGACACTTTTTGCATATGAGGTCCTCATAAGGGTAGCAAGTCCCAGGTCACCTATTTTAACTGATCCTGTGGGGCCTGTTATGAAAATGTTGTCACACTTGAGGTCTCGGTGGACAATCGGTGGAGTCCTGGTGTGAAGGAAGTGAAGGCCTTTCAGAATTTGTCTGCACCAACTTCTGAGGACTTTGGGTTTCATCACCTTGAAGCGCTTAAGGTAGCTGTGCACAGAATATATATGGTGTCAATACCAAGAATACAGAGCACAATGAATACAACTATAGAAGTAGAAATGTATTTTTAATATCTTTGGCATAATTCATAGTACACTTACTTTATGCAGAGATTAATTGTAGATGGGTTAAAACTACTTCGCTGTTAAAAAATATGATTAAAATGGCCTTAATTACTAAAACCTCTATAAGCTGTTTTCATTGCCAAAGAAAGCCTCCAATGAGACAACAATCATGTTGTACTTGAGTGATAACTGTGTGCTTAAAAGCTCTATTGGTAGAGCTCCTTTAATCTTGCTTAAAAGGTGTAACAGCTACAGGTAGGTCATGGTTACTGTGATCACTTTAAAGGGACACTATGCAACATTTTTCAGTTAATTAATGTGTTCCATAACGTTTTGGATGATTAAATGAGTCATTTCAGGTTGAACAAAGGTATTCTCGGCCGCCCTGGTGGTCTGTGGGGGAAATACCGCACTTGCAACTGCAGGAGCACCGACCCGCACCCACAGGCTCAGAAGTCTCGTGAGAGTCAGTCTTGCTTTACGGCGAGAACTGCTACACGCCCCCAGTTAAAAGCATTCTCGTTGCTAGCACAGTGGCGATCTTTGTGCAGTTATGCTACGTTCACGCAGCAAAAGCAGCAAAATCGCATCTGCTGCTTCCTTTTTGCTGCTTGTACCAGTTAGTTCTGACTCGTGGCTGAAGCAGCTTTGCTGCTCCGGCTGTGTCTGAGGCGCGTTGGGCGGAGCTTCACTATCCTTTCTCTGCCTTGCAGCTATATTTGCTGTGATCAGCGGGAATAAAGTAGTTTTAATATGTGTTTAAGTGAGAAAATACACCTGAAAACGTAATCAGTGCAGTCAGTTCATTCAGATTATTATCCTGCCTTCAATATTTTTTCTGTCGGAGGCGCTCAGACCCCCACATACCAGCGGGGCGCCAACAGTATGGATCCCTTCATCAGCAGCGGTTCACCGCGGCAGCTGGTAGGTGTTTTTCATCTAAATAATCCAAACTGCATATTCTGCCGGCAGATTTCTACATTTTAAGTTAATTTAGGCGTCAATAAACTGTTTAAGAGGAGAGATCATCAGCGCTGTGTCTCTCTCCCTGCGTTAAACGCACCCGACGCGCTGCTTCAGCTGCTCAGACGTGCTGCGCCTGGTGCTCAAAACGCGCCGCGGGACCTTTTGTTGCGCGTCAACCATTGACTTTGCATGTAAACTCGCTGCTTCTGTCGCGCCAGCTACGTCCAGTGTGAACGCAGCATTAGTCATTCGCTGCTAAGCTCAAAACAACCACGCCTGGCTTGACGGAGAAACCAGGAGAACAGCTGTGCATATTTACGACAGTGCACTTTTACTTTCGCCCTCTGGAGGGAGCCTCACTGGAAAATCAACACCGGTTGCATAGTGTACCTTTAAGGCTTCAGCTGTCATCTGCCATGCTTTGTGTAGGCTGTGTTCATCCCTTATGTTCTAATTTCTTACAGTATTTGGTGCTTACAATTTGAAACGAAAATGGCCAAATGCCTTTGCTTTATGTACATGTGGTACATGCTAGCACAAAACCTGCCAAATAAAATAAACAAATGGAAATCATCCTTGGAACACAATCAGGCCTAATGGAATTTTCTTTGGGAAAATGAAAGATCTTTTTTTCTATATACTGGCCCTTTTTTAAATAATAAATCTGAATGTGAGGAATACATATGTGATTTTTCACTAACGTTTTGAGTGTTCCAGATGTCATGAGCTCGGTGACCAGTACAATGCACTTCTTTCCACGCAGCACAGACTCCCAGGAATCATAAAAGCGGACTATGTTGGGATGTTGAAGTCCCTTCAACATTTCTGCCTCCTCCTTGAAACGTTGCTGCTCTGCTTTGGTTAGCTTACGGTCCTGCAAAAAAGAAACAAAAAAGTACAAGCAAAGATAAATGATCAGAATATATACACGTATGGCTTATTTACAGCACCACGGTATAAGATAGCATGAAGAGATTACATTTAAAACATCATGAGCTTGGCTACCTGTTACTTGTACAAATGTAATAAGGCATTATACCACTAGATGGTGATAGCTATCTAAAAATGCAGTAAAGCTTAGGCAACACCCAAGCTGTAGCTTTAAACACATTTTTACTGCAGATGCACCATATTGCCAATATAGCACAAAGAAGCGCTGCTGCAGGAATCAGAAATACAGTCATGCGACATTATAGAAAATAGAAAGAGCGCTTGACTATTCTTATGCACAAGAACAAATTCTACTGTACATAAAGCAAACATTGTTCTTGAATAGTATGTGTATGGTTATATAATCCATCTCAGCTTAAGTCCTTTTTAACCCTTTTCTGTGCTTTTAGCATGCAAATCCATTCGATCTATAAAATCCATTCTGAAAACAATTTGTTTAACTAACACGGTGTGCAGTACTGAAAAAGATAAAAAAAAGATATAAATAATCATAATTTAATAAAAATAATAAAATCAGAATAAAACATACTACAAAGAGTGTATTGATAAAATAGAAAAAATAACCAACTTGTACTAAGGAGCAATACCAAGACAAAAGCAGAATAAAATTCCTGTAATAAAAACATGTATTCTTAAAAATCTGTTACGTGTTTGTGATGATACAAGAGAACCTATATTGACAATACCATATTTCACTTTGCAGGAGCTCTTCCTTTTCCTTTAGGCTAGTGCATAATATTTAATTGCATTAAACAGCAGATTCATCTGCTATATGTGAGCAAACAACCTACACATTCCTGTGTTTTCCTTTTATCTGTTCAGCTACTTTTTAGAACCATTGGTACAGTAAGACGCCGTTCAGAAGAACTGCATAGTTTAAAACAGGTACCTGTCATTAAAAATACCTTAATGGTAAAAAACAAGTTTACAATAAAATTGCTCCAGCTTTAAAGTAAGATATAGAGTCCAAAGGCAGCTAATGCGGTGTCACGTACAAACAAGCCATAAATAGTGTTCATCATAAGACTGGTTTTCCACCGATCAATTCCATTGATGCTGAGCTTTTTGCTTTAAAAAAAACCCCATCACAGTCAGTGCCCTGCAGGTATTTGGGTGCAAATATGCAAAATACAAACAATATAAAAAAAAAACAAGCACCATGTAATACAACTTTTGATGGTTGAATCTATTTCTTTTATCTCTCATCACCGCAGCCCCTGCAGTGTTTGGATGCTTCTCTCCCTGTGCTCTATCCTTTTCTGGTAATACTAGTTGGGAAGGCAATTCCTTGATCCCTCCTCTTTAACAGGCAACTGAAGTGTGTCGGAAAAAATGCTGTTGGCACTATGTGGTCCTAGAATGCCTAACAATAGGTTACACCTTTCATAACACTAGTTATATTATAGTGCAAATAAAGAGATGCACATGCAAATAGCGATCAAAACTTTTTCACATTTTGTGTGGTTAAATCGAGTGCATTTTTATGGTGATTTCCTGCCATACATGGTCATATAGTAGTCAATAATTCTCCCCATCATGCATATGAAGCCCTGTTTAATTCGACACCTTAGTATACCAATTACCTTCAGATCTTATCAGTAAATAAAGTACATCTGTTTTTAGTTTATTCAAAGTATAAATCCTGCTGTTTATCGAAGACCTCAGAGAACTTCAGTGAACAAACAGCATCATGTAGACCAGGGGGCACAGCAGTTAGGTCAGGTCTGTTTTAAATATTAAGAATGCATGGCATAAGAGAGACTTAGCAATACAAAGGACATAAAAGAGCAGAAGAGGCCAATAAAAATATTGGAGGAGTAGATACAGACAAAAAAAAGATGCCTTTTTCCTTTCACCTTACAATTAGTCGAAACTTTAATGAGTACAATGCTTTTGCAATGCACTACATGTCATTATCCGTCGTTCTCCTAAGTCTTAATGCTGATTTATTTTTTCTCAAGCACATCTGTATAAAACTTTTGTACCTCGAGAACAAAAAAAAAAAAAAGGTGTTTGAGGACGAAAAGTTCTTTATTGTGACAGGATGTGCTGCTTCTGTTTGAGCCTCTCTGTCTCACTCCTCATATGGAGCATCACTCTGCTTCACTGTCTGGCACAGAGTCAGACAGGCAACCTGGTTGTGTGTTTCTGTTTGCAGCCTCCTCAGCGTCTACTTTTCCTTGTTGAGTGTCACATCAGGCAGCGTCAGTGTAAGCAGAGGTCACAAGTTCATTTAGTGTTTCTATAGCTGTTCAGTTGTGTCTAGACAAACCTTACATAAACATGTTCTTCACAAATCAACTCAAAGATGTGAAAGCACACTGTCTAATTAATTTATTAATATGACAAATTAGCATTAATACAACCACTAAGACTGATGGCTTCGTATCTATCCTTGTTAAAGGATAAAAACTCCATCACAAAGGTGAATAAATATTGACTTGCTATGTTTGTGAAGGCTGGCGGTCAGTGTTGGAGCCCTGTGTGAGGTGCTGGCAATTCTGGATAGCAGGTTGTGCTGCGCTGCTGTGCCTGGATGGGGAAGGCGGCCCCTCGGTTATCCGATTGCAGCGAGCGGTCAAGTACCGCGTCTTTTCTGCTGTACAGGTGGGAAACATTGTCTACCTGCGGTAACTGACTGTTATCCATCGCAGTTCTTGTTGTTCTGGAGCCCGGACCATAATGATATGGAAATCCGTCTGGAGCTGCGGTTATACTAAACTGTGCAACTAGCTAGGGTTTGTTGTTTTATGAAATAAAATATTTCATAAAAAAATAAATGATGCATCAGCTTTATTTCCATCAGGCAATTTATTAAAGTTATACATCAAAGAAAACAAGCCATTGCAACTTTGGTATATTGAAACCACCTGATCCAGTGAGAGCAGGATTGATGATAAAACAATCTGCTGTGATCTGAACATAGTTTGCTGTATCGGTTTGGACGCCAGATTGTCCGGTTGATTTTTATCTAATCTATTTACTTTTGGATCGAAATTTTATGCCAAACAGAGTCCTTCGGATAATTAAATATTCTTTTTCCCGATCCAAAGTCATTCCTAGAATTGGCAGCAGTACAATAGACCATTGTAATTACGTTTTAATGATCCTTTCAGAGTGCTTAACAATGCGTGATGTGGTGGTTCTATACACCCGCCCGAGGACGTTTGACTACACTGATGTCACGGCTGGGTTTCATCACATGATGGCTCTCACCGGACTCGCAGATCGCTAGAGGTGCTCAGCATACTGTAAAATCCTACGATTTATATTACTTGGAGCATTTTATTGCGATTTAGACCAGCCACATAGCGAAAAGAAACGATAATCTACCATCACACACGATAAAACTGCTCTAGATGCACTCGTTTCTATTTGAACTTTAATATTTTATCGTAACCTTCAGAGATTAGAGAAACCCTCTGCCAGAATAAGAAAATAAGCAGCCCCAGAACATAACAGGGCCTCCTACATGTTTCACAGTAGGGACTGTTTTATTTTCTTTATATACTTAATTTATCCTTCTGTGAACATAGAACTGCTTTGCCTTGGCAAACAGTTACATTTTTGTCTCATCTGTCCATAGGTCATTCGCTGAACCAAACTGGCCATTTCCAGGAAGGTTGACTACAGTCCCATATATCTTGCAATTCTAAATATGTGCAACTGCAGTCACCAGAACATCAAGCTGCTTGGGTATGGATAGCTTTTACCCTAAACATGCTTTCTCCTGACCCTTCTCAGTTGGTAAACATTATGTATTTATGTGGGCAGAAGGGCAGCAGGTATGGGATAAAACTTCTAATTGTCTGTAATATGTTTTGTACTCTGACAAAACAATATGTCAATTTAAGCTCCTTGTGGATCCAACCCTGTGTCAGTTTGTTTTGCCTCCAGGTAACGTTCTGAAGTAACTGTGACATAAGCAGAAAAATGGTCTATAATTTTCCTTCTAATCTCCTGAGTTAACTCTCTTTGCTTCCTTTGGTCCATGTTGAGTGTGGTACACACCATGTCACCAAACAACACAGCAAATACTTGTAGCCCTATATAAAGGCCACTGACTGATTACATGATTGTAGACACCTGTGATGCCATTTAGTAGGAATACCGGGTACCTTGATTTAACATGTCCCTTGGGTCACATTATTTTGGGTCTTTTCTAGAGGTACCATCCCTCTTGTCAGGCTTGTTTCTTGAGTTTATTTTTTAAACTGGATCTATTGATGCATGGTTGAAAAGCAATATCTGACTTTCATATGTTAATTTCAAAGAATTTTTGTTTATCATTACTTTAGTCAGTTTTAAGTAACTAATGTGACCATTGCGTGTTTTCTTTCAGGGTTACCAACTATTTTGTCCAGATGTGCAGTTCCCCATGAATTATTATCTATGTGATCTATGTGGAAATCCCTTTATTGTCTGTTTATGGGGAAATTCACTGCCTGCATTTGACCCATCCCCTTGGGGAGCAGTGGACTGCCATTGTTTGGTGCCCAGGGAATAGTGTGGGGTTAAGGGTTTTACTCAGGAAGTCGGAGTGGAGGCTGTGGGGATTGAACCAGGTTCTTGCAACCTTTGCAGAGCAAAAGCACACAGCTCTAGCCACTAGACAAACACTTCCCTACTCCCACTGTAGCATTTTTCTTGACAAGATTCACCAGAGGGCTGATTTTTGCTTCTGACACCGCAGTTTGCAGCTGGTCACTTAGATCAGTATATAATGTAGAAGAAAATATCTGACATAACCAAATTTCAAGGACCTAATACTACAAATTATACAATATAAACTCCACAGAACAACTCTATTAGCCAGTTGGGTCAAATGCCTCTAGGCAGGTGTAGTGAGAGCACAGCTGTGTCTTTTCAGAAGGCTGCTGTTGCTTATTTCTTATGCAAGAAGAGGAACTGTGACAGCTCTCT